GATGCCCTGGCAGCTCCATTCACCACGGCCCCAGCCCGGGGCAGCCGAAGGCCCTTCCACGGGCAAGTGGTACACAGAGAGTTCTACATGGACACCGTGGACGGCCAACCAGCAGGACGTGTCAGGTCCACAGCATGGACGTCCACCCAACGAAATGTGTCAGGTCCACAGAATGGGCGTCCACCCAACGAAATGTGTCAGGTCCACAGAATGGGCGTCCACCCAACGAAATGTGTCAGGTCCACGCCACGGACGTCCACCCAGCAGGGCGTGTGGGGTCCATGCCACATCATTCTACGAAGCACAAAGCAAAAACCTGCCACATCATCACCACGGACTCCGCTCGGCAGTGCTTTGTGCCGTGGAATTCCACTCGCGCTTCCAGCCCTCCCACGGGATCCGCCCAGCCAGAGCCGTGCTGGGTGCAAACAGCCAGTCACACACGGGAGCAGTGTTGTGACTCCATTCAGTCGACGTAAAAACGACCAATCAGAGAGCTGGGGAACAGGAGAGCGGGTGCCAGGGGCTGGGGGAGGGGCGGGGGCGCTGTGGCTATGAGGGCAGCGGGAGGGGCCTCGGGTGCTCCAGGCATGGGCGGTGCTGCTGCAGCTGCTGACGTGAGGAGTGTGTGAGGCAGCACACACTCAGACACACTCACGGACTCACACTCACAGACAGCACACAGTTCACACTCAGCATACACACACTCACACACAGACTACACATATAATTCACACAGCACACACCCAGACACACTCACGGACTCACACTCACAGACAGCACACAGTTCACACTCAGCATACACACACTCACACACAGACTACACATATGATTCACACAGTACACACACCCAGACACACTCACGGACTCACACTCACAGACAGCACACAATTCACACTCACAGTATACACACACTCTCACACAAACAACACATATGATTCACACAGTACACACATCCAGACACACTCACACAATTCACACTCACAGTATACACACACACAGACAACACATATAATTCACACAGTACACACACTCAGACACACACTCACGGACTCACACTCACAGACAACACACAATTCACACAGTATACACACACTCACACTGACACACAGACAACACATGATTCACACAGTACACACACACACTCACAGACTCACACAGACAACACATGATTCGCACTCACAGTATACACACACTCACACAGACAACACATGATTCACACTCACAGTATACACACACTCACACTGACACACAGACAACACACACAATTCACACAGCACACACACTCAGAGACACACTCACCTGGACTCACACTCACAGACATAATCACAGACTCACATTCACAATACTCAATACACAGAAACACAGATTCACAGACACACTCAATACACACACTCACACTCACAGAGACATAATACACCTGCAGAAACACAGATCACACTCACATACAATACACACACTCAGAGGTAGACCCACATGGACTCACACAGAGACAATACACACAGAAACACAGGTTCACACACACACACAATACACACTCAGGGATACACTCACACACTCATGCATACTCAATACACAGATTCACACACACACCCTCATACACACTCACACTCAGAGACACACTCACATGGACTCATACTCACACAGACTGCACACACAGAAACAGATTCACACACTCAGTACTCACATAGATACACACAGATGCAATCACGTACTCACAATCACAATACTCAGCACACAGACACACAGACACACACTCACACTCACAGACTCACATTCACACCGATATAATGCACACTCACAGAAGCACACAGATTCACAGCACAATACACACTCACAGAGATACACACAATCACACTGACAGATATAATACACAGAAACACAGGTCCACACGCACAATACACACTCACACTGTGATACACTCATACTCATACACTCAATACAGACGGACACACTCAGTGCACACACACACTCAGACACACTCATGCTCAGGTAGACACACACTCAGTGCTTACTCGGGGATACTCTCACATTCACACTCACACACACTCAGAGACACACACATATACTCAATAGACTCAGACACATTCACACTTAGATACTCTCACACACACGTTTACACTCACACAGACACACACAATACTCCAGATACACCCTCACACAGACACACTCACTGAGAAACTCCAACGCCTGACACACACACTCATGAAGATTCACACTCACGCTCACACACACACACACACACTGATGGATACACAGACACATGCATCCAAACATGCACAGACACACAGACTCACATGCGTGAACACGTGGGCACACGCTCTTACTCCTACAGATACACACACAGACACACAGACACACACAGGCTCACATGTGTGAACACGTGGGCACACGCTCTTACTCCTACGGATACACACACAGACACACAGACACACACAGACTCACATGCGTGAACACGTGGGCACACGCTCTTACTCCTACAGATACACACTTACACAGACACACGTACACACACAGGCTCACATGCGTGAACACGTGGGCACACGCTCTTACTCCTATGGATACACACTTACACAGACACACAGACATACACAGACTCACATGTGTGAACATGTGGGCACACGCTCTTACTCCTACGGATACACACACACACAGACACACACACACGTACACACACAGAGACACACACGAGTGTGAGGGACACAGTGAGGTCTGAGCAAGGGCTGTGGGCTGTGCCAGTGCCAGCTTCCTGGTTGTGGCACCCTGAGTGTGAGTGTGTCTCTGTATATTATGTCTGTGTGTGAGTGTGTGAGTGTATCTCTGAGTGTGAGTGTGTGTTGAGTGTCTATGAATCTGTGATTCTGTGTGTATGTCTGTGTGAGTTTATGTCTACGTGAGTGCGTCTGTGTGATGGCTCTGCGAGACGTCACCCACTGGGGTCCCAGTTACGGAGTTTTATAACTGCGTGTGAATCTGCAATTACCTCAAAACAAAACGATTCAGAAGAGGTGTTTCTTCAGTTACGAGCTACAGGCCTCAGACAAGAGTGGTGAGCCTGGGTGGATGGCGTGAGGGCACAATGCCAGGCCTGCTGTGTCCTGTCTGCCCAGGGCCCCGGGCCCACCGGGCACACATAGCCCCAGGCCTACCGGACACACAGCCCCAGGCCCACTGGGTACACACAGCCCCAGGCCCACCGGGAACACACAGCCCCAGGCCCACTGGGTATACACAGCCCCAGGCCCACCGGGAACACACAGCCCCAGGCCCACTGGGTACACACAGCCCCAGGCCCACCGGGAACACACAGCCCCAGGCCCACTGGGTATACACAGCCCCAGGGCCACTGGGTATACACAGCCCCAGGCCCACTGGGTATACACAGCCCCAGGCCCACTGGGTATACACAGCCCCAGGCCCACTGTGCATACATGGCGCTGGGCCAACTGGGCACACACAGCCCCAGGCCCAGCAGGCACACTCAGCTCTGGCCCACTGGTCATGCCTGGCACACACAGCCCTGGCCCACTGGGCACACATGGCCCCAGGCCCACTGGGCACACTCAGCTCCGGCCTGCCTGGCACACTCAGTCCAGGCCCACTGTGCTGTTTCCTGTGGCCCTGTCCCTGGGAAACCCTGAATCTGGTTCCACTCTGGTGAACTGGAGCTCAGCGGGTCTCCGCTTCCTCACTGCCAGCATCGGCCTCAGGTCTGCCAGTGATCCCGGCCTCACCCCTTCAGTCCTCGCTCCCAAGGTCGCCTCCGAAGCCAGGGAGACCCGGAGGACACGGCCAGGGCCTGCACGGCTGCTTGGCCAGAAAGTCAGCTCCGCGGAGGTGCCTGCCGGTATGGATGCCGGGGACTCACCCACCGGGTGCAAAACACTGCTGTCCTTCTGCCCCGGGAGGCAGGCATTAGGCGTCGGGTTCAGGGGTCAGGGGTCAGGGTCGGGACGGGCCCAGGGGGAGCAGCCCTCGGCCGTCTGTGGGACTCCTGGCGAGCAGCCCCGGGGTCCAGCAGAGAGAAGGGCCTGAGAGCGAGCCCACGCGGCCGGAGGAAGCCAGGCTGGGAGAGCGGGAGCCAGATTCTCCACGATCCGTCTCGGCCAGGCGGCCTCGCCTCACCCACCGGGGCTGCCGTCCGTCTCGGCCTCGCAGCCCCGGGAGCCGACAGCTCCTTCCCTCTCCAGGGAACACGAGGGCGGTTTCTGCCACCTGCGGCTGTGACAGGCGTGGAGTGGAGTGGAGTGGAGTGGGGGCCATGCCTCGCCCCAACCCAGTGAGCGCTGCCCTGCCCAGGGCACGGCCGCCGACCTCACACGCCCCCGCGGTCAGCAGCGCCAGCGAGGATTTCATAAGGTGCAGGGGAGACTGGGGCTGTGCAGCCGAGTCCCCGGGGTGCTGCTGGCCGGGCCCACACCAGGGTCTGGCGCCGGCTGGGGCTGCGGGCGCCCGGGTCCTGACCCAACACTCAGCTTAGTCCACCTCTCTGGGCCCTGGTGTCTACACTGTCAAAGGGGCGGGGCCACCTGCTTCTTGGTGGCTGTGTGACGTGGACACACGCGGCGGGACACGCTCACAGGGGCCCAGACTGGGGACAGAGCTGTGGGGGACTCTGGCCCTCCCTCGCTGCCCTGGAGCCAAATCCAAGGTGTAGCCCACAGGGCTTTCCTCTCAGGCTCTGTCTCCTGCCCCAGGACCTTGGCACACGCTCACTCCTCTCCCAGGCTCGGGCACCCTGACCTCCTGGCACTCCAGCCCCCGGCTGACACGTCACCTCTGCAGAGCGGCCTTCCCCGGTCATGCTGTCCCCATGGCTCTCGGTGCCCTGGTCTCCTCCTGGACATGGTTTCCACGGTCGCCTTGTACACTGTGCCCCCACCCTTGGTCTATGCCCAGTCCGGACACTGAGGTCCATGAGAGCAGAGCCGTGGACGCTGGGTGTCTGTGGCGAGTCCTGGATGAGGCCCCCGCCCCCGCCCGCCCCACGCCCAGCTCACCCGGCTTGGAGCCCTCGTCCACGGAGCCGTTGTAGACCTGGTTGAAGAACTCGGGGCGGTTGTCGTTCATGTCGATGACGTAGATGTACAGGTCAATGGGGTTCTCCACCTTGTTGCCGTTCATGTCCACGGCGTGGGCTCGCAGCTGCAAGGCAGCACAGAGCCATCAGCCAGCGCCCGCAGGGCACCACGGAGTCAGGGCAGTTCTCTGGGGGACACAGCTCCCGGCTGACCCTCCACCTTGCGGGGGCCACAGCTCCCTGCTGACCACAGCCTGGGGGGACACAGCCCTCTGCTGACCCTCCACCTGGTGGGGGACAGTTCCCTGCTGACCCGCAGCCTGGGGAGGGATGGGACACACTGCTCTTGGCTGACCCGCAGCCTTGGAGGACACAGTTCCCGGCTGCCCCACAGCCTGTGGTGGGTGGGGGACACAGTTCTCTGCTGACTCTCCACCTTGGGGGGGACACAGCTCCTGGATGACCCACAGCCTGGTGGGGGTGGGACACGCAGCTCCCAGCCCCTGGGACAGGAGGCAGCTGGGCAGGTGCTGCTGGCTTTGGACATCACACAACTTCTCAGAGCCTCTGTCTGTCCTCTGCAGGTGCAGGAGAGGGGGTGACCCTCAGAATCCCCCGGCCACGGCCCCCCAGGGCCAGTCAGACTGGTCCATGCACGGCTGACAGCTGGTCAGATGCCTTAGATGGGAGTTCACGTCCCCCTACGGCCATCACAGAAAAGCATTTGTGCCCAATGGGAGGGGGGGCTTAAGCGCCTGTGATGGAGAGGCTGAGGCGGGGGGGGGGGGGCCAGGGAGGAGAGGTGCGGGGGTGCAGAGGGGCCTGGGCCTGAGCAGGGGCGAGGCTAAGTGGGTGCCCCCTGGGTCCAGCCCGAGTCTGACCGTGATGAGTTCCAGGCTTCTCTGCTTCTGCTGTTCTTGGGCTCGGCCCAGCTGGGACACAGCGGCCACAGAGGGCAGCTGGCAGAGGCTGGGCTGGGAGTCCCTCTGTCCTGGGAGCTGGGGGGGACAGAGTCCTGACACTGGGGGCTGGGAGGTGGCTGGGGGCTGCCCGGCTGATCCCTTAGCTTCTGGATCCGCTCCTTCACTGTTTCAGTCACTCCTTCAGCCAGAGCCCATCAAGGGCCTGCCGGCACCAGGCTCCGGGCTGGACCCGAGCTGGCTCGGCAACGATGGCCCAGACGCAGCCGCCCGAGCACCAGATCCTGGGGAAGGCCCGCGCCCTGCTGGGGCGGCCCCTGGCGGGTCCTCTCCCCGGCGGGTCCTCTCCCTGGCAGGTGCACCGTGAGTGCCGGCTGCTCCTGTATCTGGTGAAACTTCTCCAAAATGTGCACCTGAGGCCATGTCCCAAGCCCTCAGGCCACGGTTCTGTGCTGGAGGAGGGCCCGGCCCATGGTTAGGACACGGAGCGAGAGCCACGAGTGTGCAGGTGGTTCCGTTCCACACACGCCGGTGCGGCCGCCAGCAGCAGGGACTCCCACGCCTCTCCAGCTCCTCTCGCTTCCGTGCAGGCGAAGCCTCACATGGACGTCACTCCTCTCCTCCCCCGTGGCTGGCAGCACGGCGTGCTGGCCACAGCGTGGCACTGACGCGCACCCTGCACGACGCTCAGGCACCTGCAGAAGCGTGGGCGTTCCCTTCCGCAGCCCAGCCCCCAGCTCTCTCACCGCGTGCCAGCGAGGGGCGGGGAGAAGCCTTGCTCGGAGGTTTCCGACAGACGGAGCCAATGTAGTTAAAACTTCTGGGGCGGGAGGCGGTGACTGCACTTCCTGTCTTGTGCACAAGGAAGGCGCCTCCTTGTCACTTTGCAAGGAGACCACAATGTCCATTTTGGCTCTGGCTCCATACCCTTTGATGCGGTGCGGTCCTGCCAGGCTGCAGCCACACGGCAGGCAGAATCTCCCTGTCCCTGGGGCTCAGTCCCCAGGGACTGGGCTCCTGGAGGCATCCCGCCAGCAGGGGCTGGTGCGGAGGGCACCTTTGCCAAGTCCTTCCTTCTGTAAGGAGAGCGAGCGCTCCCTGGCTCTGGCCTTGGGCCCGGGGACGGAGGCCGTGTGGACCAGCCTGATGGGTGCCTGCCCGTTGGAGCCCTGCTCTTGAGAGAGGAGACGGACAGTGAGCCCCAAAGCAGCTGACAGCAGCACAAGGGGCGGGGGGGGGGCCAGGCTGAGCTCTGCACCGAGTGACGTCAGAGTCGGTGGTGACAGTGTGACCAGGGTTCAGTCTCTGCTCATGCATGGCAGCCGAGGCGCGGCCGTTCCGACCCCACAGGAGCCCCCCGCGCCTGCGCCCAACTGTGCTGCTGCTCAACGGCTCTCGCCGCGAACCTCCGGTCTCAGCAGCAGCCCAGCGGGCTCCCCTCCCTTCTGCCCTCTTCCCTCCGCAGGAGGCTGAGGCCAGACAGGGGAGGGCCGGGCCTGAGGGCTCGCACCTGGCCAGGGCCGGCTGGGTTTGACTTGCCCACGAGCGGGCTCCAGCCTGGCAAACCCCCCTGTGCGCCGAGGGGCAGAGCCCAGGGCTGAACCCGGCTGCCTCCCCCGAGAGCCCTGAGCCCCGCGCCCCGCAGCTTTCTCTTTCTCACCCCTTCCTCCGCTCCGTGCACAGCCACGAACTGGACCTGGGGAGGACGCACGGTCCCTCGCGCTGCAGCGGGTGGGGGCGGCTGGCAGCCTGGGACTTTGCAGTGGGGACAGAAGCAGCAGCAGGCTCCGGGCTCTCCCCGGGGGGCCCAGGCCCGAGCAGCTCCCCAGGAGGGGGTCAGGGCACAGATTCCCCGGCCCCCGGTCCACTGCGTCGTGAGCCCCACTGGCGATTCTGGCTGGGCTCCTGCCGGGGCCCCCCACCTCGGATCCAGGACCCTGTCTGGCAGCCGCCCTGCTGCCGCCCCTCCGGCCGTGGGCCGGGACACTCACGTGGTAAGAGGCCCGCTCCTCCCGGTCCATGGGCCGCGTGACGTACATCCGGCCGGACATGGAGTCGATGCTGAAGACCTCCATGGGGGGCTGGTCGGCCCCCACACCCGTGATGCTGTACCGGATGGGGATGTCGTTGTCCTTGTCGGACCGGATCTGAAAGGCAGACGCAAAGCCGGGGCCGTCAGCCTGCTGCAGGGGTCCACGCTTGCCCCTCCTCTGAGGGCCTCGCACCTGACCCACTCTGGGACCGCGCCAGTCCTTCGTCCACTTTGGGAACTGGAAGGGCAGCCAGAGGTCAGGGGGTCGCTGAGCGCCACCAGCTACCCCCGCAGTGGCCCATCAGGAAGCAGTGAGGGACAAGCGGCGTCAGCCCAGGGAGCTGGGGGCACCCCGCAGAGACCACAGCACAGCTGAGTCAGGCTGGAGACCCCTGTCTAAAACAGCCTGGCACTCTGAGCCAAACCCAGGAGACAGAGGCAAGGAGAGGGCAACCTCCTCGGAGCTCCAGGGCAACAGGTCAGCCCCACGGCACAGGTGTAGCCCGGCCCGAGGGCACAGGTGCAGCCCGGCCTGACAGCACAGGTGCAGCCTGCCCCCACGGCACAGGTGCAGCCCGGCCTGACAGCACAGGTGCAGCCCGGCCCCCCGGCACAGGTGCTCCCCGCCCCATCCCCGGGAAGGCCCAGCAGATGCGGTTCTGTCCCCTGAGAGTCACACACAACCACAGTCTCAGGAGTGGGGGCTGCGGCAGAAGTGACCCCGGCCAGTGGGAGAAGCAGTCAGCCCAGAGAACGGCTACCAGCAGGTCTGCCAGGGTTATCCAGGCCCTGATGCCAGGCGGGCTGGGTGGGCTGGGGCGCAGAAGTGTGGCCAGCATGGATGGAGTTGGGCACAGGCGCAGCTTTGCCGTTGGCTCGTGGTGGGGGCGTTTGCTTTCTTGGCAGATGAGATAACCACGGATCTTCGGGAAACCGGAAGCTCAGGAGCAGAGCCGACAGCCACCTGTCTGCGCTCAGCTGAGGCCGACACTGCGGGGAGTAGGAACCTGGTGAACGCGCGGTTGCAGCCTGCGGAGCGGGTGCAGGGGAGCAGCCAGCCCAGCGGGCGAGCAGGGTTTGCGCTCAATTCTGACTGCGCCCTTGGAAAATACAGCTTTTCAGCCGGTGCCGCGGCTCACTAGGCTAATTCTCCACCTGCGGTGCTGGCACTCCGGGTTCTAGTCCCAGTTGGGGCGCTGGTTCTGTCCTGGTTGCCCCTCTTCCAGGCCAGCTCTCTGCTGTGGCCCGGGAGGGCAGTGGAGGATGGCCCAAGTGCTTGGGCCCTGCACCCCATGGGAGACCAGGAGGAGGCACCCGGCTCCTGGCTTCGGATCAGCGCGGTGCGCCGGATGTAGCGGCCATTTGGGGGGGTGAACCAATGGAGGGAAGACCTTTCTCTCTGTCTCTCTCACTGTCTAACTCTGCCTGTCAAAAAAATACAGCTTTTCAAAAACCCGAACCCTGGCAGGACAACAGCAGTATTTGACAGTAGGCTGTACCACTGTGAAAACCTCCAAGATACCCCCAAAGCGATGGCTGCACTTGTGTCAGGATTTCAGGACAAAGACCTCGAGGGAAGGCCTTCGGCCCAGCAGCTGAGATGCCCACGCCTCCCACCTGACTGGGTTCGGTTCCCAGCTCTGCTCCGGCTCCCGGCTTCCTGCTGACGCAGACCCTGGGAGGCGCGGGGAGGGCTCAACATGTGGGTTCCTGCCGCTGTGTGCAGGCGTTGGGCAGTGACTCGGGACGGGAGATCTCGCTCTGGGTCTCTCTGCCTCTTTAATAATAATAACAATAATAATAATAGTAACAAGAACTTCGAAAAGACCTTTCAGAAATTTAAAAACCTTCTGAAATTGTCACTGCATCAACATTGCTGAAAGTCACAGAGAGAGAGAGAGGGAGAGAGAGAGAGAGACAGAAAGGTCTCCATCCGCTGGTCACTCCCCAAATGGCCACAATGGCCGGAGCTGCGCCAGTGCGAAGCCAGGAGCCAGGAGCCTCCTCTGGGTCTCCCTTAAGGGTACAGAGGCCCAAGCACTTGGGCCATCTTCCACTGCTTTCCCAGGCCACAGCAGAGAGCTGGACTGGAAGTGGAGCAGCCGGGACTAGAACCAGTGTCCATATGGGATGCTGGTGCTTCAGGCCAGGGCTTTAACCCGCTGCGCCACAGTGCTGGCCCCTTTAATTTATTTTTTTAAGGAATACAAATTTCATAAGTACAACTTTAGGAATATAGTGATTCTTCCCGCCCCCATACCCGCCCTCCCACCCACACGCCCACCCCTCCTCCTACTCCCTCTCCCCTTCCCAGTCCCATTCTCCATTAAGATTGATTTTCAATTAACTTTGCACACAGAAGTCTAACTCTGTACTAAGTAAAGATTTCAACAATTTGCACACACACACGTGCACACACACAAACTGAGAACGTTTCACAGTTAACTCAATACAACTCATTGAGGACAAAGGTCCTGCCGATGCAACTTTTTAAGGTTTGAGACCCAAGACTCATCTCGAGCCACGGCAGTTGTCCACGAATCAGCTCCCACCAGCAGCTGCACTGGACAACGCGGCAGCCACGATGCCTTTTGTGTGCAGGGAGGGCAGAATAACACCGGGCCCCAGACGCATGGGCAGGGACCAGGTGTGGGGCGATGGGACGTCCTCCCAGGGGAGCCGGTGCTGTGGGCAAAGGAGCTGGCAGGGGACGGTGGCAAACACAGTGGCCTCTGTGGCTGTGTCCTCCACACTTTAGTCCTGAAGACATCACTCCTCCAGTCTCCCCAGGAAGACTCCACTTGGATGCCGTGGCCAGGGCCCCACCACCGAGTTTATCGACAGAGCCGTTCTTCCCAAAGAACACACGTGGACTGGCAAATGCACCTGCTACACGCGTATCTTCTTGTCCCGCCCGATACCTGCGCAGAACACACAGACGCAGCTGACGCCGTGTCAACAGTCAGGGTCAAGGGCTTGAGGTGCAAGTTCTGGGTTCCAGGCTCGTCCCTGGACACCCTGACCCCTTCCTAACTCTTGGTCTCCTCACCTGCGAGGGGGGGACGCTGACACCTCCTGGACAACATCTGTCAGCAGGACTGAGTAGGAGCCACACGCACGGGGCTCCACGGAGGGTGGCTGCAGCTTCCTCCCCTCCGCCACCATCGTCACCATCACCGTAACTGTCACGTTATTCGCCCTCATCATTGCTGCCATCATCCCCTCCATCACCGTCCTCATCACCATCATCTTCAACCACCTGCCTCCATCATCACTATCAAGTTCATCACCACCTACACCTTCACCATCATCTTCATCACCACCATCATCTTCATCACCATCACCACCACCACCACCACCTACACCTTCACCATCATCTTCATCACCATCACCGTCATCTTCATCACCATAATATTCATCATCTTCATCCACACCATCACCACCATCTTCATCACCATCACCTGTCGCTCCCCCTCTTCGTGGAGGAACGACACAGGACCCTGCGCTGTTCTTTCGTCTGCTCGGCCCTCCCCGGGTTTGCTGCTGGTTCTTCCTGGGTTGGCTACCGACCCTTCCACCTCCGTGGAAGGGCGGTTCCCCCTGCCACATTCCCCACTTCCGCGGGGGAGCGGCACACCGCCGGCCGGCTCTCTCGGGGGCTGCACAGGTGTTCCTTCAGATAGATGTTCCTGGTGCATGTTGTCTCTCTCCTCCTTTATAGTCCTCTTCCACCAATCCCAACTCTGCTACGCCGAGTACGCTGCTCTCCTCCAATCAGGAGCAAGTCCTACAGTTTATTGGCTGAACTGGAGGCAGCTGTGTAGAAGCTGTTTCCTCCTCTCCCAGCGCCACATTGTGGGAGAGCAGATGCATAGAATAAGTCTTAATTCCAGTAACTCAGTCCAGTCCGGGCTGCTCCCCACAGATCCTCCTTTCTTTTTATTTTTGGCGTTGATACGCGCCTGTCTTCGGTGCCCCGCGGCACACACTCTGCTCTGCTTGCTAGAGTTGCCCACAGGTGCTTACAAGCCCTACCAATCAGGCAAACCGAATCCAGGTCCTCTCTTCGCCATGTTGTGAGGAGGTTTTTAGGCGCTGATGCGTGCCTGTGTTCGGTGCCCTGCAGCGCATGCTCTGCTCTGCTAGAACTGCCTGCAGGTGCTTACAAGTCCTATCAGGCAAACCGAATCCAAGCCCTCTCATTGCCGTATTGTGGGGAGACTTATTGGTGTTGATTCATGCCTGTCTTCGGTGACCTGCAGCCGCCCACAGGTGCTTATCGTCTTACTAATCAGGCAGACCGAATCCAAGCTCTCTCATTGCCGTGTTGTGGGGAGGCCTTATTTTTCTCTATTTCTCTACCTCTGGGCATTCCTATTTCTCCTATTTTACTTCTATCTGCCAGCATTCCTATTTCTCTCATTTTACTTCTAAACTTCTGTTTCTCTTATCCCCGCGGCTTCCCGGTGCCCGCGCTGAGGCTGCTTCTCAGCGCCTCACCCCGCGGTGGCTTCCCGGCTTCGCGCGCTCCGCGGTCTCTGCGCCCTTTGTGCCCGCACCACGGCCCCGCGCATTCCCTATCTACTCGCGCCCCGTGCGCTCTCCCCGTTTGTGCCCAGCGCTCTCTCTGCGCGTGGTGGCTTCCGCGAATCACACAGCCTAGCTTACGTTTCCGCCACCGGTATTCAGTCTAAGTTCCCCAGGCTAACCTGGCGAATTCAACCTAGCCTACGTTTCCGCCTTACGGTTTGGCTTCCTGTCTTTTGCTCCCCGGCTAATCTGATGGATTCCAACCTGGCCCACGTCTCTGCCTCTGGTTCCAGATTTCCGCCCCTTGTTCCCCGGGCTGACTCGACGAATCCCAAGCTAGCTTACGTCTCCGCCTCAGCCTGCCCCCGCGGCTTCATCCTCCCTAACATTTTTCTCTACCCGGTATGTTTCCTAACTTTTCTTCCAACAACATTCCCCTCTCATTTCTCCTGGCTTCTCCCCACAGTCCGTATCCGAGTCTAAGTTTCTTCTAGGTTTCACTTTCGCTTTCGACCTTAGAGATTTCTCCCAGCTTTCACTTTCGCTTTCAATCCTAACATCCAATCCTAACTTCTTTCCCACAGT